TAACGAGCATTGGGGAAAAGCCGATGAAGCAACAGTTTAGGAATCTAAAACGGAAAATGAATTAACTTAACCGCATTATACATACAACTGAATGAAAAATAAATCGAACATAACGAAGAATGATGAGAGATATAGAAAAGTTAGATGAGGCATTCACTTAGAGGATGCTATTATTTTTTATTTTTTTTTTTTGGAACTCTTTCCTTTCTTGATATTAGCAAAAAGGCCAAATCAATCGTTTTTCGAGGCGTTTTACCTTTCCATTACGTCTCGGATCAGAATATGGCAAATTGTGAACAACTATAATTCTCCACAGCCCAACTTTCTTCTCAATGCTAAGTGCACTTGAATTCTTCAAAAAAGACTCAGTTTCTTCATCCACAAACATATGAAAGCACACATTTTTCTGAGCATGCTCACTGATACCCTTTGGCTGCCGTATTAAGTCAAATGCCCCTGAACGAGAATGTATTTATTTCCCAAACATTAATTATCAAAAAAATCTAAAACTTTTCGAAACATGACAAATGGGAATTTTTGGGTGGGAAGTACCAAATATTGCCGATGCAACAATGATCCCCCAACAATTTTCCATCTCGAGGAGATCAGATTCGTTAATGTCGAAGCCCGTCTTATGACCTGGCTTTGTTCCTTTCACAAATCTATTACAATGGAAAATCAAACATAAAGACTAGTATAAGTCATATAAATATTAATATGGGATTATAAAAAGTTCAAACATTAATCTTTTATTTTATTTTATTTTTTTTCTCTTTAAGTGAAAACTACACATAGCCTGCATAAAGCATGACAGACACCAATTAGAGTATGAACTTAAGTGGAAGAGATAATAATTTCTGAGTAAGAAAACCCAATAACGAATCAAAAGGGAACATAAGCCGACAATTTTTTCAATGGAAATATATCGATACAGTCAAAAGTATGAACAATAAACTGTCTAGAATATGAAAAATCATACCCACAATGCACACTCATCGAATCTTGTATATCATACGAATCACTCCTCTGATTCAATGAGGGATATCCACCAAATTCCGAGCCTCCAAACTCGGATTTAGTTAAATTCTCCTCATGAATATATTTCAAGTCTTTGAGCACGGGAGAAAAAGACGGTGCCTTTGGCATGAGAGCAACAGCATCTCTGGAAGGCAGATAACACACAGGACAAGCTGCACAAAAAACAAACAACATGAAAATAAAGACAGAAAAAAAAAAATCAAGTAACCAACTTTAA